GGAGAAGATTTTAGAGGAACATATTTCTTTGGAAAGGTACGGTCAAACGTGATATCGTTTTATAAATTAATTAACTAATATGGTGTAGTGTGAGGAAGTTTAGACTCATGAGAAAAAAACTAAAAAATTATAAAATACGAAAGAATTAAGATATGATTTATAAATATGGGATTATCGGTGAATGTAACTCTTTTTTGTCACTAAAAGGTTTTTAAAATTAAATCGTCTCAAGTGACAAGTTTTAATTTTATCTGAACTGTACCGATTTTTTCTAATTAATGTTTTATACATACGAAAAGGAACAAATGAATTTCGTTGTAAATTGTGGAATATTGGAAAATTTTGATAAATAATGGATTACTAAATAATTAAGTGGTTTAAATTATATTTTATATTCCACGGTTACAAAACATGGAAACAACATGAAAACTCTAAGACTTGGTTTCGTTACCTGAAACAGAAATATCATTGAAAAAATTCTTTTCTGCATAGATATAACAGTGAATGAATAAAACATGGCATTCAAAGGTCTCATTCGTATTCTTTTACTTAAAAAGTTCAAGCTCCATCGAAAAAAACAAACTGTAAAAATATACGACCTTGCAAAACTTTGGAATCACTTATGTGATGGAAACACAACATAGATTTTTAAATAGAAAATATGTTCTACATATGAATATTTGACTTTTACATTTTAAATTAATTCTTGACTATAAGAAAATAACAATATAATTCTTAATCCATATTCATTTGAAATTATTATTCTGGCGTACTTTATCTCCTTATCGTTGAAACAATTCCACTTCTTCTTATACAGATTTTTTTATAGAAATTATTAAACACAATTGCATTAAAAATTCGACATCTTTGAAGATTTAATCCACAAGACCTAGTGACTGTTTAAAAGAAATGGTTTTATTAACAGATGTGAAAAGAATATGGGTTATAAAAGGAGTATTTTATATTATAAAAGAATATTTAAAAATGTCTTACATTTTTTAGATATAATTTTGGAACAGAAAAATGTAATGTTATTAAGTAAATTAGAAGAAATTATTAATTAAGAAGTATTTTTCGTTACTTTCAAAATACAGTATAGTATCATACTTATTGAATATAGTATTGAATATGGTATATACAGCACTTTTATATTGCTTCAAAGCAATTTCAATAGGTAAGATGATTAATGTCGAATAATAATCTTTAATACCATAAATAACTAGATAGTAGTGCAACTTAAGAATTGTGATTCCAAATAATTAGTAATTGTTTTTATTTATCGTTACTACGAAAGAATAAGTAACATATAAAATATGAATGAAATGAAAAATTAATGAAATTAAGAGCCGTGGCAAACTTAGGAATTATGATATCAAATAATTAGTAAATGAATTAAATTAATGAAATGAAAAAAGCAACTAAAAATGAATGAAATTAGAAGTATAAACAGACTCACCGTGGCAGATCGCCGATGGTCGTTAGGGCCAACGTACACCAATAGTAGCTCTGCAAATATTGTTTCACAACGTCCGCTGTTTCAGAGTCGCTGAACACCCAGTTCTTACTGCCGAAGCCGTTGTTCTTATAAATAATGTGATAGAGGCACCCGTTCCAGTGAAAGATCACCAGTAAATAATGTATCAAGGAGGTGGAGCGGAATAAATTCGGATAGTTCGTGTGTCGCTCAGTTCTATCCATGAACGCCCAGAACCTGCGTGACAATGGACAAAGAAAATTGGATGAATTCCGGTGCGATGGTCATAACGTGGCGATAAATTTCGAAATTCCTATTAAAATATTGCGCGGGGAATTTCTTCTAGCCGGGCCACAATGGAATTTTCGCTTAACTATGAGGACGAATAGTTGCTAAAGAATTCCTCTCAACTGACCACGTTTTGTGTACTTTCGAGTTTCCATCGTACGTCTATCGGTTTATATTTCAGCTACATACATGGCCCGGGAAACCAGGGTCACGGTCGAAAATTGACTTCGCATTTTTAACCGGGTATCTCATAAAGTTAACCCATTCGAGGCAGATTACATACTGGATGTGTAATGCATTTCCTACTCAAGCAGGCGAGTTACACATCGAGTGTGAGATGATCATGAATTTCTATTATCAGTTACTAGCGAGAAACTAGCTTATTTTATTGGCTATTGGTAAAAATTAAAGGTATGCAAACATGACAACTTGTATTGGTTACAACAATAAATGTGTCCGCACTTTGTGCATACCTATTTCTAAAGCAACGAATCGAATAACTAATTACAATATAAAAGTAAACAAATTAGATGATAGATTTTTCGCAGTGGATATTGAAATAAGGAAAGAAAATTGCAGACTTATTAGTTGGGTAATATAGGAATTGATGAAGTTAAATATTGGTGAAGTTAAATGAACGAAATAGAACACAAAGAGAATTTTTAATCAAGTTTTAAAATTGATCATTTGACCGGTTGTGGTAGGTTCAGTGCTCAGCTAAGATCTTAGAAAAAGTCATTCACAATCAAGATCGTTAGAATGACCAAAAATTAACAGTAATGGTGAACGCAACGATTGAATATGTCGTTTTTAGACATGAAATGTAGTAGAGATGAAATAAAATGGATATTGGTGTTTTCGAATATGGAACGGAAATATCGAATCGCGGTACGTGATATCCGTTAACAGTAAACCGAAACCTTAATAATAAACCAAAAACATGAAAAAAGAATGTCTCTATGAAGTTTTAACTAAAAAGGTAGTAGTTTCGATTGAAAAAACAGATTGTTTGTAAGCTTTGACCAAAACACAATTTCAACAATTTCGTTTAAAACACAGATTGACTGTGCTGTATCCAGTACAAAAACACGGTCTAATAGTTCTTTTTACATAGATATATTCCGCTTTTAGAGTAAAGGAATCACATTGGTAATCAGTGGATTTGTGTACACTGACAGAGAATAACGTAAAAGCTTTGGTAACATTTTTTTCATTCATATACAAATCCGTGAGCAAACCCAAATATTCTTTGGTCATAACGTTGAGTTATGATTATTAATTAAAGATAATTAGCAAAATACACAGACAGAAATAAAGGAAACAAAAAATTAATTATGATTTACTTATTCTGTCTGCTTAAAAAGATATTGCCTTATACGTAGACTGTGGATGTTTGTTCAAGAAGGTATTTTATAAAACAAATGTTTAATAAATACTTTTTTAATCTTTTCAAGAACGAAACCATAGAAAATTAACAAATTTTTAACGTATAAAATTACTGAAAAGATTTAGCGAATTCTATATAAGATCTCATTTTATTATACTTGTATCTTACGCACTTGTATCCCTCCACATAAATTACAAGTGTATAAATCCACAATCTAATTGTAATATATTATAAAAGTTTTGATATTAAATACAAGTACATACTACTTACCGATATATCTTCACAAGTCTAAAACTTCGCAGTATACTATTGAATCCTATAGATAAGTATAAAAAGTCGAGTGGCAGCAGGCACAGGATGTCCATGTAAAATGTTGTGCTGTTGGTGTAATGATTCCGCAGCTTAGTTGCGTCGGTCTGCAACACACCATCTTCCAAATATCCAGTTCGAATGTGAAATACTATATCCAACACGTATAAAAAATCCGAGAAGTAATCCAAGCAGAACCACACCCACCGCGTTTCGCCTAAACAACAAATAAATCATTTTGTTTTAAACGAAAGAAATGTATTTTCAGTGTTGAATGTAATTATACACTAAATTATTGATTTACAATGTTACGAGATACAATAAAATGAAATACATTTTTCCTTATTTTTCCTTATCATTATCTTGCAATGTAAAAAATGTAAAAAACGAGCCAACGAAACAATTTTTTATTCTAGCATATTTCTCTTTCGAAATGATTTAAATCACGATAAAAAAACTTGTTTGCAACATAAAAAACAAAGGAGATATTTAGGTGGCCTTCTTTAGCCGAGAAACTCTGTATATTCTCTAAACTTATAAAATTTAAGATATTGAAATTATAAAGTAAATAAATGATTTAAATATCGGAAATATAAGAATGTACTTAATTGTTTAAAAACACAGGACTTTTCATCATTTAAAGCTATTCAGGTAATGTACCTATTATTAAGAATGTAGATCTTCCTTTTTTTAATTAAGTCAGTTTACAAACGACTTTATTTGAAATTATAAATTATGCGAATGTTTGTCAGAAAATTTGATTACGGCTGATGTTCCCTTTATTGACCTATTTGTATCTTATACCGACCATCTTATCTGTCCCCATTACCGCACAGTACATTCAGCTATTACACTGATGACGAGATATTGATTCTGTACTTCATTAAACTCTCTCTGTTCTTACGTTAATGAAGAATCTCGAACTAACTTTTATGTTAACTACACTCATTAATAAATGTTTGGGTAACAAAATTATACATGAAATAATCGAAAAACGTTTTTAATTTCTGTAGATTTTATACAGATGTTTAAAAAACAATAAGTATGTAAAACAAATAGATTCTTCGGAAAAAGTAGTAGAAATAACGAATCATTACAGTTTATCAATACCTGCAGTTATAACATTACAATTAATATTTCACATATAGTAAATAAGAAAGCATACCATGCTATACTGTGTTACAGATCCTAATCAACAAAAATAGAAAAATCATTTATTCGATAGCTACAGTTTTTTAAATAGTAAAAAGAAATAAAAGAAGTATAATATGTTTGTACGCTTACCGATAATTCTAACAAATAAGTTTCTCGTAATTATGAAAGTAATCAGTCAGAACAAAGCGAACATATAACTGCTATAATATGAGTAAACGCTGCATAAGAAAATTTAGTCACAGCAAAATCTCGAGAGATTGATGGAAGGCAAGGAATTTTCTGCTTTTGCCAAACTGGATGGAATTCTTTCTTCGATTCGTCGGAGAATTTTGGGTTAGGGATGTGAAGTAATTCACCAAGCTGGCAAATCCGAGCTGGAAAGGAGTTCTTTCACAGGAGTTGCCAGATAGGCAGTGGGAAGTCTGCTTCCTATCGGAGGTGATCGTCGATTCAGTGTGGTGACCCCGTCAAGAACGAATACCGAGTTATCTGACCGGTAAAGTTGCTTCAAAATTTCTGCTATACGGTATGCGGCACTGCTTTTCAACAATTTTAATCTATCAACCCGAAATCAAGCGTTTATTTCAATTTTTGACCGAGTACCTTGCGTTCTACCAGTATGTACATCATTAAAAATATATACATTTGATACTTTATTTACCAGTAATTATTTAGTGATGTTTTAAAGATCAATGCACAGCTGAGGACTGTTTAAGCATGTTTTCGATGATAATAAAAAGTGTAATTATAAATCAGTAAAGTTTCTCGTTTAACGTAATACAGTGATGTTTTCTAAGATAATTATGTAAAAGAAAATGATAAACCTTGCTTTTGATAAAGTACGTGACAAATATATTTTTAATTAAATTTCATGTGAATGAATAGTCAGAAAATATGAAGTTAATGGAATATTGTCAAAAAGAGTTCGATGATCAATATTTGTATATACGTATAACAAGCACTGAAAAATAGGCAGACACGATATTGGTTGCATTTAAAAACACAGTACGCATTCAATGAACTTTTAAACAGAAATAATTGAAACTAAATTCCCTTGTGAAAATATATTTTGAACTTTTAATTGATTTTTTAAAGTAAAAACATCCCCTATAAGGCTGCAAATCGGATTATGGGATACACAATATTCTATCATTGATAGAATAAACAGACTTTTTGTTTCACCGCTCAACTGTTTTAAATTCTATTAAAACAATGATTTGTATAATATACAGTATAAAACATTTTTTAATAATACATTCAAAGGTATCACAATCATAAAAACAGTCTACATTGGTTTTATAAATAGTCGTATAACGTAAGAGAGTGTGAAAACAGAGCTAGAAAAGTGTCTACGCAATTGCATTAGCAAGACACCAGCCTTGTACAGGACAAGAAAGTACGTTAACGAATTAGGAGTGTGGAATTTGAAATTGCTAGAGAAAGAGTGGCGACGCGTAGTCGTTAGCGGGTTAGGGGGCACTGATCTACCTCACGCCGCGCGCGTTTCGAATAAACACAGAAGGAGGGAAAAAATAACGATGGTTTGTTACGTTGTTTGGAATGAACAAGGAAAAAGGAAGAAAGGGAGCAACGACAGGTACTTGAGACTGTTGATCAAAGTGACAGTTACCGGTATGCAAACATGCAGCTAAGTGTGCATTGTGTAAGTGTAAGTTTGAAATCGGGGCTAGACGATTATTGCATGAGAATGGAAAAGACTGGTAACGAACATAGGTAAAAAAACTGAGGTAATTTCAACTTGCAGAAATAATGGATAAATGAAAAAATAATCGATGTATTTTGAAATGCTGTTTCTTGTACAGTATGTGGGATGGGAAGTGATAAGTTAGATGAGACGCGAGCATGTGTGGAACGAAGAATGTGTGAGTTGATGCATGTGCTGAGCGAGATATGGCGCGTTGACCCAATAGAATAAACAAACACATGGCGAGAGATGCATTACTACGAAACAAAAAAGGCGACAACCAAAAGAGCCTAAGAGGGGAGTCAGCGTTCAGAGGCCGAGAACAGAGCACATCTTATGTCATCCCTTTTATACCTTATGTTACTAGAATATATTGTATTTTCGTTGACAGACTTTCTCTTCATAACCGAATTTTTGTCATTATTATCACCGGTACTCCTATTTTTCGTTAGTCAGATATCCTTTCGGAAGACTGACTAGAGAGAGGGGATCCCACAAGTACATTTATCAATGCTAATATCGTTAAAAATGGTTTTACAATTTGGTAGTTATAATTGTTATAATAGGAGAAATGTCAATTTGTTATGACAAAGATAATAATAAAATTACTGTTGTAATAGGAGCAGTGTAACTAAATTTGTCATAACAAAGATAATAGTTAAATTATTATTATACATATTTTTTTTTGGTATTCGTAGGATTGTTATACTAGAACATTTTTTTTATACGAAGAATGTAGAAGTAATACTTAATTGCGTTTTCTATGGCCATTTTACTGTGATTTTCAATATATTTCAGAATTATATAAAGAGTTGTATTATATTCAATTCGCCTAGTTAGCTTTGGGTTTAGTAGTACCAGAGGCCTCTTATAATATAAAGTGATGTCCAAACTGAGCTCCGGAGCTTAAGCTCCTTCCTCCATTTATTCCCAAAGCCACTGAGCACTGAACGCAGATTACCATTGCGCATTAAACGATGACCACTGAATCTAAACCTTCCTTTGTAAAGCGAGACGTCGTCCTCTGTCGAACGAAATTTCCGGAAGAAGCGAGTATTTAAATTGCTAACTAAATAACGCTAAATTTATTTAAATTTAGCTTAATGTAGCTCTTAGAAATTGGATACTATACGAGTACGATTAACATATGTAATTATTAAAATTATCAAGGGTACACTTGCTATAATTTATACTGATATTCATTACATTAGGCAAGTGAAACAATTCATTTTCAAAATGAATCTAGATATTAAACATATTTGCAATATAATACCATTAATTTTATATTTTGTTAATATTCCAGCAAATAAAGGAACGATACCTTATTTGAAAAATTATTAGTTTAAATCAATTTCGTTACTTCATATAAGACTTAAAATAAATCAGAAATTATTGTTTTAAAATATACATATACAGCTACAATATACTACTTCCTGCTGTTAATTTCAACTCGTACATTTTCTAATAATTTCAATTTGATTTTATGATTCGTGCACTACAAATCTATTTTTTATAATACGATTATTAAAATATTAATATGTGTCTAATTACGGTAAATAATAGTAACCGTGTATAACTAATACATGTTACACATTAACAATTTAAAACATACGTATTAAATGGCATAAAAATAGATTAAAAGATTAACAGCAAACATCAAATAAAGTTGCATACAAAAAGACTAACCGTTTATCTCTTGGAAGGCGAACCTATAGATGATTACCCAGAAATTGTACAGAAAGGCAAGGGATACCACCATTGACCAGTAATAACACAGACGTCCCGCAGGATCAAAGATGAAGGACCAATTAGGAGCACCAGTACGAAATCCCTTAGTTCCCGATTGCCCGGGGTACCCTCTGCTACCACGTTGCTGTTGCTGTTGCTGTACTGTATACCTGCTGCAGACATAGAATTAATTACAGTATACAATTAAATATATTTTCACATTGCTCGTTATAAATGTGTCTCATTTATAATAAAAGGAAAAATAATATAAGAATGATGGGTACCATAATGTCTAATTGCCTATATATTGTAAAAGTATTATGAATAAATGAATTTAATCATATAATTAATAAATTACTGTTAAATAATCGAGGAATAATTGTGTACGTTGCCATACTGACATGTTTCTTATTTAACTAACATACGAGAGTTTTAGTATTTGCAGTAGCACTAAGAACAAAAGTTGTTACTGTTGGTTTAAGACATTTAGAATCCTTAGGTACAAAGGGATTTCAAAGTTTCTACGAGTTGAAGTAGAATACAAATTTAGAAAGGATGTATTCCAGACTACATTGGATGGAGTATCAGTATTCTACTGTTATGGTATCTTTTACTGATCATTGGATTCAAATCTTTGTTTATGTATCCACTAAATTTAAAAATCCAATATATCGTTGCCGTAAAGTATACTCGCAATAAAATTCCCAACATAAGAGTATTTCCAATTCAATCTGTTCTTTACAGTTTCAGTACTATTTGAGAAAATCTTGGAATACTTTGCTACATAAACAACCTTTTTATATAACTATATTGGTGTAAATCAACGAACTATCCGACTACGGTTTGTTTCAACTCGGAGGAACATGTATCCGTGAGGTATTAGAGTTGGATATTATTTCAATCGTTTAGAATGAATACCCGAAGATAATTGATCGAACAAATACTTGACATTTAAACTCTTCAGTTATATAATAATTACTCATATAATAAGAATAATGAATAATAACTGTAAATTCAAAGACTATAGATATTGTGAAAATTGGCAACATTTATTCACGAAATAAGTAAATACAAATATAGGGAATACTGTTTGAAAAAGAATGTGAATTTTGTAATACAAAATTCTGTAGCTTGAATTCGTAGACACCAATACCTAATGTAAGCAGGCAAGCACGAATTTGTCGGTTACGTCAGAGAGACGGACTGGAGGCACCGGATACACTGGAGGCACTGGTGTTAAGGGGTTAATTAATTTTTCACGCGCCTTTCACCCTGGAGAGGAGGTTCCTTTATCACAAACACGGTGAAAACTGGGAAGCCTGCATCCTCTTTCAAATTCCGACTAACTACATTTGGGAAATTAGCAAAATTATTTACCATGTTCATGGTAAGCTTATCTTACAGTATTATGTAGCACCAACATTCTCGTGAAAACAATCGTGTTGCACGATAATGGAATTTATAAAACACAATCTTTTCTTTTATACTTCTTCCTCTAACATCGCTTAGAACAAAGCTACAATGATTAAAATTATTTTGTATTCAAATTGTATTTATATATGTAAATTTTGAATAAATTTAAATATATAATTTTATTATATTCCGGTAGAAAATTTACATGCAATTTCTACATTTGCAATTTACAACATAATATATAATGGGTTTAAATTCACTTAAGGTTTATTTTTATTTTTCTTTCCTATCTTACATATTCCTTAAGCACTGCTTATTATTGAAATTCTATTAAACTCTATTATAAATCGTTACATCACCTTTTTATATTTTTATTCAAATTTTCTGTACCACGGAGATATTTTGAAAAAATTATGACAGTTCAATGGTCAATATATGTATTTTTATATATTTTATAATTTATAAAACGCTTTCATTATCTTTTAAAATATATTAAATCGCTTCTTCTTATTTTGATGAAAGTTATATGAAGAGAACGTTACAATATTTTACTAGAAGTATAGTAAAAATAATTTAAAATTGTAGAATGTTAATTGCTGCACATCGTTCTGTTGAATTTGATATTTGTATTTCATTGCGTCATCTTACAGAAATTTCTTAAACAAATTTGATGCAGTTAATTTGCATATATTCAGTGTAATTGTAAATATGTATATATCTCATTAAATTGATTTTAATGTAATTATCCTATGAACTGAACAGAACATGAGAATCAATAAAGATACTCAGTAAATTATAATATTCTACCTTTCATCGATTTCACTGTCACTTGTCAATTAATTTGAGATTATAACAGAAATTAAATAACTTGATACTGTAGATAGTATTTATAAACATTAATACAAATATATATAAGTAACAATGGCATTCATTTTTTCCTGAGGTTTTATTTCCTTTTTAATTCTATCATAAATTTAATAGTCGAATTCCTTAATTATACAATCGCATCTTGATAAGTCGAATTTCAAGGGAAGGAGAAAAAACTTGATTTATAGAGATTTTCACTAACCGAGTTTTTCAATTACATACAGTTTAACGAAATAAAATTCGACTTAGATAGGTTTAGTAAGATGATTGTAACAATGCAAGATAAATGTGTAAAGTATATACCGGTGGGCATGACAGTGACAGGAAGATGTTAACCTGTTAACTGTGGAATTTAGATTCAAAAATCTTTCGTCTTGCGCGCAATAAAATCAAAAGTAAATTGTGTATTCGTTTAACGTAGGATAAATGTACCTATGGTATATTTTAATGAAGAACTTAAGTAAAACAAAGAAGAATTACATGTTTATCGGAAAAAATAAAGAATTAATATCATTTCAAGCTTTAAGATGACGTGTATACATATTCGTCAAACGCAGTTAACTGGTTAAAAGAGAACTTCAATTTACATATAGAGCTCTGGACTGTTCTGAATTCAAGTCGTGGAAATAAAATAATAATTTAGAGGTTTTATATTTCGAATTATAAAGGCTTTTATAGGTAAACAGAATAGAATGAAAAAATTTTTCGAGTTGTAGAGTTCCGTGTGATCGAGGGTCATTACATAAGTGCCCTTAAATTTTTCTCAACATTAAAACGTATTTACGTGTTATCTGAAAACTCTAAATGGTGCTAACTTTTTCAACGATAAATTATTTATTTTTTTTTACAACCATGTAATTCTTCTTCGATTCGCTTTAGTTTTTCGCTGGAATATATTATAAGTGTATTTGGTTTACATTTGACGAGTATACACTTCATTATTTGATTTTATTGCGCATACAGTAAGATATGTTTCAAACTAAATTCCACGCTTAACGGGTTAAACAGAAATTATACTAGTTGTATTAGATGCTCAGTTAAAATCCTAAAATCTGCACGGCGAGAACAAAAAATATGAACACGAAGCAGCACCCTGTAGTGCGCCAGAACTGTCATAAACTGCTACCTGTAGGTAGAACGCAGGTTATAGTCGCACTCGATTGTTGGAATTTACCATCTGCAATTCTAGGAATTTGCGACTCGTTGTCCTCTGAAACGTAACTCCGTAACAACCAAGCGAATGCCCAGCTAAAAGTTCCTCCACCAATCACGTTACGCCCCTGCGCAGGCACCCCCCGTGACCAACCACATTTCAGCTTGCTGTAAGTAATTTCTCTCGATAGATTCTAACTCGATGTTATAAATACTTGAAATTTCTGCGGAAAGTAATTAATTGTATGAGACAAAAGGATAGTCGCATATTTGATGGTATCTTATCAATATCGAGTATACCATTTTTGGTGCTGTAATTGTCAAATTGTACAATATAAAATTGTCATTTTTGTAGATACATTATCAAAGTAATTATTTTTGCTTACATTATTTAAGAATAATTTTATTGCGTATGATAAAAGCGATAGGATTTTGTATTTTTATTCGATTAATTTTTCTGCGACAATTATATCTGCAGTTAGACATAGTGCGAAATTATCAATCCGTGTTAATTGATTAATGAAGCTTAGTTTTTGAACTTTTGCCTTTATTTTACTGATTAAATCTTCTGATAATGTAATATTATTGTAAGTGCTTTTTTAATACTAATGGTTTTCAGTAAAGTCCCAAAGTTTAATTAACACTGAGTCATTTTTCACTAAAAAAAGAATTTTTGTTCTTAAAATCTTGCAAAAAGCGAGAGAGATTTCTTTATCGTTACATGTACCTCATAAAACAGTATAACGAAGGAAACTTTCTGAGAAGTTCTTCTGTACAACCATAAATAACAGGGACATTTAGGAGTTTTCATTTACATGGCCTACCCTGTATACTAAAAATGAAGTTCGGAAAGTGTTCGTAGATTTCTAAGTTAGTAGTACCGTTCTTTCAAATAGTATACGACGATAATAAAAAGTAATACGATTTGTGACTATGTAATCTAATACCTGAGATGAACTATTTTTTTATGTGTATTATTATGATTGGAAGTATAGTCCTATTTACAAATATTGAGAGAAGTTGAAGTTTTATAAATAAAAGAAGATGTCTAATGGATGTTGCATAATATTTATTTGTTTTCTAACTTTTATCGAAAAAAACATATAAATGCGATTGACAAAGGATTTCTGTTAAATCTTAAAGGATTTCTAAGATTCAAAATATAATTATAAAAAGGGAAAATTAATTATAAAATCTTTACTATAACTTAAAAAACCTATTAATTTTGTTCATTCGTATATTCAGTATATACTCTATCGTTGACGAGTAATTTGTATAAGTCAAGTACTTTTAAAAGTTAAATTACAATGGCATAATATACATTAAAATACACACAATGGTTAGAAATTTTTATAAGCAAAATTATAAAATTATAAAGCTCCAAGTTTTATGAGCATAAATCTAAAAAATATAGTAATTTTAATTTATTATGAGTACCTTACTATAATACTTATGCTTATAATTTTTCATACATTTATGGTGTTCGCAAATTTATAAAATTTGTAAATGAAAACAAAATTCTTTTACATTAAAAAATCCTAATGATATTTCTACTTTTTTACCATAAAGAATCTTATAGTTGACAAGATAAAATTATTCCACATTCTGGTTTCTTTAAATGAATTTTTCAACATGTGATTTGACATAAAAAGTCATCGATCCAATAATTTTTAATTGTTCAGCTGAATCGGTATTATTATTGGCGATCACTGAACCATAACGTGAGTGAGGGATATTATAGAATGAGAATCTTCCTAGCATCAGTGCGTCTTCGATTCCTGACGAAGCCAACTACAATGACGGCGAAATGTCGGGATAGAATTCCTACAGGACATGCATACACTTGAAAGCCTCTATTCAGTAAATATTCCAGCCATGAAAGCTTCAAATCTACATATACTTATGTACTTAGTTATATTCACATCATCATATATGCAGAATAAATGAAATATAACTGCACGTATTAAAGCATTAAGACGCTAACGCAGATTTGCCGTGTACGCAATTGTTGTTAAGCGGGTCATCAAATTAATAACACTTATTATTTGTATTTTCTAATTTATTATTACGTATTTTCATATGAAACCCATCGCGGAAAGAAAATGTTTGTACATCACTATTACATAAAATGGTAAAGTCAAGTAAGAAGTGAGCGTCGATTTTAAGGCGGCAATTACAATAGCAATTAATTTAATTTTTGAAATCTATTTCATAGATTCTGCCACAATAGATTAAATGTCTGTTCAGTCGTGTAAATTGCATATTATTCAACATTTCCTAGTTAGGTTTTATTTTATTCTTTATATTATATAATTAAATTTTACTTCTTGTGATAGAATATGTTTATATCTAAATATTAAGTTTACCCGAAAGTTCTATCTGTCAATGTCATCTCAAGTTTCCATAAATTACCATCAATTACCACAAGAGGTCACCAGTAACGATGGAAATTATATTATTAAGTAAATATTGAATTGACACAAGTTTCGACGTTTTTTTATAAGAAATAAGAAGGAGAGCTCTTAAATGTTCGCTGCACAAATTAAAACTAAGAAAAAACGAAGAAAGAAGTGTCCTTTATGCACGTTATAATGGTTTGAAGATAGAAGTAATTTGTTTCGAAGAAAAAAATTTGTTAACCACGTAGAAAAGTCGCAAACTTTTTGTATCGACACAATATCAATTAATGCGTTGAAAATATAGTATTCTTTTTTTAATTAAAAAACGGATAGAACTTACCAGTGGACCAAATACTTTTTATTTTCACACTGAATGCATGATCTGAGTGTCAGACAAAAAAGAATTAAACAAATGTATGCATTCTCGATTAATGTAATTATTGGTGCATCTATGCGTTTCTTGTTTTACGTTAGAGACACTAGGATGTATATAACGCGTACACGAAACAAAGCTGTCTTGCTTGAGAAGCTCCGACAGAAGTTCCTGTTTATCTATCTGCGTCAAACTAGTTAGTTGTGGGACGTTTGCATGATGTAACTAAAGGTTAGCACATCTCAAACAATTCTGTGTCTGTCATAAAATTTGCTCCTTAGAATTGCGCCGGTGTAAGCAGAAAAGCACACGTTTCATTTAGCGACAGTGATGTCAGTGGGACTTTAAGCGAAATGTTATCTCTGAAAAGGGAAACGCCAGCACGTATGCGTAATTAAGATTTTTTTCTAACATCATGTAACGTTGGGTACACTTTGCGCAAAGATAAATTGAAAAATCTTTTGTCTCGAGAAAACTCTTCTTTATCGAGATATCGAACGTAAAGTATCTGAGATTTGATTTCTTCGTCAAGTAGTATGCACAGCGTGATTTATTTTAATCTCTTTAGCCAACCGTTGCTACGACTATGTAGTAGTATTTGGTACTTATTATTAGGTGCACAGCGTATATTTAAATTGATAATCGTGTTGGAGTAAATATTTTTCTAATTACATTAATACTATAGTTTTGCCTATCTGGGTGAAACATTTCTTCAGTTTTAAACAAAAAATAATGAAGGGAAAGGGAAAATATATTTTAGATTAAAAAGGTTTTGTTTAACTTAAGTTTTAAAAACAAAAGAAGTATTAAATATTTATAAGGTGATCCAATAGATAAGGAAGTAAACTGAAAATATTACTGCGCGTAATCCACAGATACACCATAAATACTTACATACAGATACACCTAAATAATTACAATATAAATATGTGAATATAATATTCACAATATTCAATTCATTGGTCCAACAAAGCCAGTCATAAATGTAAAATATTAATAAAAAAGGAAGCTTTCAAAAATGAATTTTTATAATGATATTCTAAGAATACCAAATCTTCCAAACGTTTTTAAATCACAGGGCGATAGACTGTTCTTCAGAAGAATATTCTAGGTGCACCAAATTTTGTTACAATGCATGAAAGAAGAAAACGTAATCATTGACATAAATTTTAATTTTCCAGATGTTATCTCACCACATTAATCGTTTACTAGAACTTCTATTGTACAGTATAATTAATACAATATAAAATTCTTAAGGAGACGGTATCATCGGTTTCCGTTATAGAAAATTAGTCAAAGAATTTTTCCGCCGACTGCACAGAGAGCGCAGGAACCACGGGGATAAAGAAATGAATTATTCACTTTACATGATAAACATGAAGGCGGAGGGTCTTTATTTCGTGATATCCGGTGAATTATTCATGCATCTCGGATGTGTGTCACGGTAGACTAGCATTTCGGCGTGTGAGATGCATATAATCGAAACTGCAGTTTTTCGTTTTAAACTTATGCCCAAGGCTGTGTACGGTAAACGAAAACATGGTAGCTAACGATATTTATTACCTACGATGATCGAGGCTGTTGTCTCAGCCGGCGGGCCAAAACTCGATCATCAGCTACGTAACAGCAATAATCGATCGCATACTTACGTCTCGGTGCCGTTGCAGCTGCTGTTATTCAGATGATTGATGGACGTCGGTGTGTGCAGGTGCGATTGGTCGCGCGAGGGCGTCAGTGTATCTGTATGCAGCTTGAATCTGCCCCACAGATGGTCTCCCTTCTCTGACTTACGGCCTAGGTCGAAATCAGTCGCCTCATAGTTCATGTACGCCCCCTGAAGCGAAATAAGATATACAGGTTTTTATCGGGCGAGGTACTTTCGTTGCATTTTTACAGTACGACGGAGTAATACTTTAAATTTCGAAAGTAAATGAAAAGATGTGGTAGAACTTTTTCTTGGTGACGTCTTGTGGTTTAACATGTTTAAGGGGGGAAATACCTTTAGAACCTTAAAAAATCGCAATATTTTTTTTTGTAGGATGTTAGTATAACGTCTTAAGAGTATGGTGCCAAAATTTTAAAGCGAAATTCGTAGCCCTTCTGATGCTATCGGGACTCATAGGCGGTAGCCCACCGCAGGTATATATTCACGCGCTCGAAGCGGAGGATCCGCCTTTTATAATTCCCTCCTTTCAATCATTGTAAACATGTTACTTTACATTGTTTGCGTTATACAAGAAAAATTAGCATACAGCCGGCTTCGAAATATTAAAAAAACAAAAAACCTCGGTGGAAAAGGCAAGCTGACTGATGCGCTTATCAGGAAACTCACCGCATACTATGGCTTAGCCATACGAAGAAATATTCATAGTGTGGAAAATATGAAGAAAGTTATAATGGCCTCGTATTATCACTTATGCTCCACCAAAGAAAATCCAAGGCACGAATACTGCCCGGTAGGAAATGACAGCTGGTGCAAGTGGCAGAAAGCTGTAGCAACAGGAGCAAATTTGGACCTTATAGAACATCCTGCACCACTGCATCCAGACGTGCAGAAGCACATCCTACCAATTTACGAAGATTTATCTGAAGAGAATCTACTTGACAGGTGCTTGGGCGGACATACTCAGAACAATAACGAGAGTTTCAGCTCAACTGTTTAGCGCTTCGCTCCAAAGCACCTGCACTCAGGAATAAAAATTATTGAAATTGCAGCATATTTGGCAGCTGGCTTATTTAACGAAGAATATGCTTCAGTTTTAAGAACTATGAGTGCTTTGAATACTGTAATTGGAAAACAAGCAAAAACGTACGCCGACAAAATTGACGAATAGAGAGTAATTCGACAGGAGCGACGCACCTCATTAACTACCAAAGAGGCTCGAAAAGCAAGAAGTGAACAACATATGGAGGAAAATCAGCTCTATGAGGAAACAGAAGGAATATTGTATGGTGCAGGAATCGCAGACTAGCTGCTAAGTCACTGAAATTATTGAATTATCACTTATCGAAACTTTGAACATGTTTATCTCAAAACTACATTTTCGAAATCGGTGGAATCAATAACTCAAAAACTACTCAATTAATCTTGCTGAAATTTTGCACACATATCTATAACACTATTGTCTTCTATATGAACCTAGAGATATGAAATAAATTGTAAATAAAAGTATCTTTTTATAGCAAAATATAGCGAAAATTTCATGTAAAATTCAAAGTTTCTGTTTAAAAGCTTGCCATTTTTTCAATTTTCAATATTTTTCGCTTTCTTTAGGTTCATCTACAAACTGTAAATGTTAGTTATCGAAATATGTCTTGCTGGTTTGTTTCAAATCAATGTAGCCAATGCTAGAGCTTACACCATTTAATAAGTCGCACCACAATCTTCCCGAAAAACAGGGACATAACTCCGCTATTTTTAAATATTTTGAAAAACAAAAAATACGTTGTAATAGAGAAAGAATAGAATAAATGATAACCAAAGTTTCAAAAATGTAAAACAATCCTTTCCTTTACAAAAAAATTCATAAAGATCAGCTCGTTTTCATCCGTCTAAAGGTATTTCCCACCTTAAGTAATAGAAACTATAGAAAAATAGAAAGTGGAAATAGAAAGTTTTATAGAGAAATGGCAAATGTAAATGCTATACGTCTCTCACGTTAGTTCCATCGACCCCCAAGCTAAACGTTCACAGGGGCAAGGGGACGCATGGCCATTATTCATGCGCGTCAATAACAAAGGACGGAAACGAGGCCGAATACGACGGAGTGAGACGGAACTATAGAGAATTTTGTTTTCTAGAAAAATTTAAGGATAACTGAGAACTCTTTAACAGTTTGAGAACCAAGCGGCGCGATCGCGTTTCTCCGTTACAATGTCTAAAAGTGCCACCCTATCAGTTTGTAGAATCAAATTAAATTTATTTATTTGTTTTCCTTTTGATTACTTATTTTTATTTTTGTTATTACCTGCTTAGAAGTAGAGAAACGAAACGATCATGCTATTTACAATATTTTTATGTGAAAATTAGAAAAGCGTAATTCAGTTTTCGCTGATAATAAATTCACAATAATAGAACATTATGTATAATAATATGCATATTATTTCTATGGAAATGTGTAACATATATGTATATCATTAAGCAGTTGATAAAAATTAATATTAATTATACTTTGACCTTTACAAATGAAAATCGCGTAAGTAGAGTCTGCCGGTGAAAGAATAGCTGGTATAAGTTTTAGAAATACATATTTATTTCACATAGCCAGACATTTCAGAAAACAAAAGTACATTTTATTCGTTGTTATTAAATTGAGAGCGCACATAAATAGTCTTTTAATTTCATGTGAAAAAAGTCTTTATAAATCGAGGGCCAGGTGTATTCTTTTCAATTCTATAATACAAAATGAACGAGATCTGTGATATCTCTTTCATTCGCGATTCGAAATCGGTAAATTATTCCGTTGAACGCTGCATCTAGATTTACGACGAATGCGTCAGCTACATTTACCACATTCATTATACCGCGGGACGAGTTTTTATTCGATTCGCGGTGGCTCGACACGGGGCCCCGTGTTATCATTGTCACTAAGAGTGGTACGATTAAAAAGTTTGGATCGCCGTAATTGAATACCGCTGTTAGTAACGTAAGAATAAGAATCATAGTTCGCATCGGAATGGGTTTGTTTAAGAGAAAGGTCCGTGCGGTTGTGCCAGGAAGTTGATACGGACAATTTATTTGATTAAGGTACAGTCCCTTCGTTTTATTCCTCTCGCTTGAAAAAATTGTTCTTTTGTGCGTTCAGGCTGTTCAGTCTCTTTTCCTTTTACTTTCTGCCTGTCAGAATAAGAAAATTTTATCTTTTCACGGTGGTACGGATGAACTTTTACTTAATACTGCTTTTTGCCCTTCGCATTCTTTTTCGGAAAATAAACAAGTCAATGAAGGATACCATGAAAAATATAATTCCTCGTGGGTAGAATGGAAGAAGTACGCTAATGGATAGAAAAAAAGGAAGAAATATTGATATGATGATGCGAAACGGAAAAAGACCTAGATAAGCGTATGATTAATGACTTATATTTCTGTGAGTTCTGGATGTTATAAACCTGTAAAGTATACCATAACTGTAACTGCACGAAGCGCGATAAATTATTCGAAGTGAACGTATATTAGAGCTTCTTTCGTGCAATGTGTTATTAAAATATTGGGTCATTCCATAAATAATGCGGTTTTTATATTTCTTTTGCTTTTAAAAATGAAGATAAACGAAAATTTTGTTTAATGTAATTATTAATGTGTAGAGAGAGAATTTACAAATAACGAAGAAGAATATGTTTTAGGTCAAAAACAGTTTTGTCTATCTTTAATTTTAAAAAATAAAAGAAATATAGAAAACCGCGTTATTTATGGGATCATCGAATATATAACATGTTGGTATACGTGTATTATTAATTTGCAAATATAAATCGAATAGTTTCTATTGTTTTATAAGTTGGGATTTCCTTTTAGTGATACTGATATTTGAACTTTCTATTTGAAATAAAAGTCACAAATCAAAAAGAATAAGATTATTTGAAGATAAGAATGCGTTCGAATAAGCTTCAGAACTTTATTTTTGGAAAGAAGTTATTTCTAAATTGTGATTCGGCTAAATATTTAAACGATAATATTAAGGGATAAATGATTGTAATTTTAGAATCACGTATTTTTATGCATCGTAGAGAAAAGTATTTTTATTACTCTGGTTAAATCGAATAATAAACCCGAAACCCAAAACAGCGAACATTAAAATATTTCATTTCATCATTGCTCAAGTATATTGTTACTCGGATAATGTTAACTGAAATAATGTAACAAAAAAATGAACAATAAGGTAATAACTTTCTTTAAATAGTACTTAGTATATCATTGACTTTGAAATCATTGAATAAAACTGATTAAGTAGTATAAAGTAATATTATTGAGCACAAACAAATCTGATTGTAAAAGTTTTTGGAATTTTTCAAATAATTTATTTCAGAATTCGTAAAACACATTTTTAGAGTATTTTGAGTATTTAAGTACAATTTAAACGTAGCACCAATTTTTTTAATCGCGTTTCCTTTCTGTAATTATTATATTTAGTTACTCTCTTTGATCATTCATTCATTTACGCGACGTAATTTGGAACGTTCTGATCGGTGCAGCACTGTGCAATTAAGAATTGAGACCACCATTATGACCTTTCGTAGAATATTCTGCCTTCCGTTTACGTTTTATATTGAACTAAAAAAATAATACTCAAATATTAGTATTAATAGAAATAATTACTCTATTGTAATTACATGCAGTGAAATAAATTAACTTTTAATCGTTTTACATTATTCAGGGAACGCATATGTTTCTTGTCGAATTAGCTTTTCATAATTTTCTTGATTACTTTCACTTCAACCTCACTTTCAATTTTCTGTTCAATTAGTCTTACGTTTTAGTTTTTTAAGTTGCCTATAACTGGTAGACATGAATAGGAAATCATTTGATACAGTATCTAGAAATTATGGATTAAAGTTGTAAATAAGAGAAAATGATTTGGGAAAAAATTTTATAATATTACTTACAGGTTATTTATAGTTGAGAAAATAATAATTTATAATTCGAACACAATACTGACTGCTGTAGAATATTGAAAAATGGTTTACGATAATAAGATCTCAGTACCAAATTTCATAGTTTTATCAAACTACTTCATAATTTTCCTATCTGACACCATTACAAAGAAATGTAATTTTCTTATTCTTGTTACCATTGTTAATATATTTTGCATTATATACGTATGTAAGACTTTCATTTCTAAAAAGATAAATAAAATGTATACATACATGTTTCTAATAGTTAGTACTATACATTATGACTGATTATTATTTTGTATCATTATTTATTTGTCAATGAAATAATGCGTCTTAGGTTGCAGAACTAAATTTGTTTTTCTAATATTTAATTGTACAGTGATCATTCTCAATATTAAAAGCTTTATTTTTCTTCGCGATCAATTAAAACAATTTTCAATTTTTGTTTCGTGAATATTTATAATAATTACGAATTTATATTGAATAAAGTTTAAAAAAGGATATTAAACCTAAGAATTTTAATTTGTATCTGCTTACGACACGCCTTACCTAAAATCGTCTGTAGGATACAGTTTTTTCCTTGGGCGTTACAACTTCTACTAATGCAGGCATCACATTAGCATAAATACAACAGTGAACAATATGCTTTCTTCTTATTATACCCTGCGGTATACCGTTGAAACCATTATGAATGAAAAGAATTCGTATGTATTTTCCCAGGGAATAGGTAAAAATAACGTAGCTGCAATAAAATTAAGTTCGTTCGTCCTGTTTTTTAAAAGTATACAAAGGAAGAAAATATTCCTATTAAATGTACTCATAAAAATAAAAATTTTCCACTCTATTACTGAAATATATTTCATATGTTGTTAATGATAGCTAGTAAAAATTGCTTAGAATTTTGCTGAACTATGACGAATGTAGTTGAAAGATCAAAATACTAATAATACTATAATTAAAGTAATGTGCTTCATTTAAATGCTGGTTATTAAATCATAGTTCAATCATTTGCAATTTGTATAATGTTGGCTATAAAAGATACGCTTGTTTACATATATACACAGAGTCTTGTAGTAATGTGGGAGTTTTGGAGTATTTCTTACGTAAATGTATATCAAGAAGTTCCTCAGCATTTTGCATATCGATTTATTATGTTCAGAATTTTTAAGAATCCTTTCACATGCTTCGTTTAATTACGTACAATTGTTTTATATCCCCAAAATTAATAATACGATTTTTTAAATTCACAATTATTTTAAATATATTTACATTATGAACAATATAACTGTTTCTTTAGTTTGTCATTTTTTTAAACATTGAACATTAAAAATATTAACTACCGAATTTTTTAAACTTTTAAGAACTCTTTCAATAAAAATCTGAATCATGCACCGAAATCTTAAATACTAGGAAAAAACCATATATCAATCTCTTATTATTTTAGTGAATAAATTATATATTTGCAGCTTGAGATTTTAGATATAAAAGCTTGAAATCATCATTACGACAGCATTTGACTATGAAAGGTTAACAAACACAACAAGAAGTAGGAAAAGAGTAATTACAAAACTGACCTGTTGTTGCGTGGGTGTGTGGCGATTCATGCATTTGCAGCTTAAAGCGGAAGTGGAACCCCCCGTGACACGGTCTCTCACACCACCGCCGCCACTCGATATAATCACTCCTGGAAAATTAAATCAAGATATTTTCATCAGTCAGGTTGATTATTTCTTCCTGTGCTTTTAACGAGTACGAGAATTTAATAACCCGAAATCGATCGAATCGTTGTCAGATGTATAACGTGTAAAAGGTATCGATCATCATTAAATGAAATATAGAAGACAGAGATCAATGTCGAGTATCGAATTCCAGAGTTTGATGGATGATGTAGTAATCAATAGCACTTCCATGTGAAATGGATGACGTGGATTATAATAACAATGGGTTAATTATGTTTGTAGCTTTCGGGATCAAGAGAATAATAGTGCTGGATAGTAAATATACAAATTTCTTTATATTAAGCTATGTGTATTCTACATTATAAAGTGTTGTCATGATCGATTACTAAAAATGGTCTGATAGCATTAAACCAAACGCTGTTAAGCATTTGGATTAATCAAATTTCTGTTTAAATAAATACATACATAATACAATTTATAATAGAATTTATGTATTTTACTTCGCTGATGTTAGTAGAAATTCATAACACTTTAATTACACGATTAACGCATTTACGATAAAGATTGAAATTATTTCATAAGGATTTAAAACCATTTTTTTGTTCATACGTATTACAGCATAAAAACATCACCTATCACGTGGTTGACCAGTGATGAGTGTAACGGTGTTTATCGTTCTGTATTATTCTTGAATTTCATTGTATTTGCACTTATATTAATTTATGTTTGAAAGCAATATAGATCTTTATAAGACCGTTACAGGTTGAATTCATTAGTTTAAACTATTTAAATCATTCCAGCATACTATATGTGAATAAAGTAAGTATATGGAATAATGTTTCTGTAAACAAATTCACAGGTCAGCAAAGTGTTAAAACTTTAAATATAAATGTAAATGGATTCTAAAAATGTTTTCCACAAGTTCTCGCTTATCTCTGCATCACATTTAGATACGAATAATTTTAAATGTCTGTGAGCAATTAAGATATTGCTCCGCTTTGAAAGGCACACGGCGTAAAGAATCGTTTGAGCATGCGATTATCGATCGAAATTAAGATAATTCTGTGTTTCTTGATAACGTTTCTCCTCATTTATGAATTACAGTTTGTTCTCCAGAAATTTGGCTAGAAAAAAGGTAATGAAAAATTGTAAGAAAGCATTATTAACATTTTAGATGTTATGGGTTTAAAATAATATTTAATATTAGACTATAAAAGTGAATAAAATGAATTATTGTTAGAATCGTTGGAGTTTAAATATCTTTGTTGATCTATAGAATAATTAGATTTGGCAACTGTAGCATATTTTATATGATAGTTATTGCAACAACATTTTATCCCACTTTTATTTTCGATTACTTTTACATATGATAATAATATTATAAGTACTTTGATAATAAATAATCTGGATTATAAGGAAACATTAAAATTATTACTCTAAAATACTTTTGAAAAATTCCGATTTGAAGAATGTACGTTAAAGAATATATAGTTAAATAAAGTCCAACAGGAGACATATATAAAAATATTGTATATAATTTTAAATGTCACTGTATTGAAAATACACTAATAAATAAATAGAAAACTGTTATTTAATATTATGCATAGTAATAATTCTCTGCTTTAGATAAAAAATGTCTCACGTATTATGTTGTAACCCCAAATTGTTTTAATTTGTGCAATGAATGTTTATTGTAATTGTTGTATTGTTCATCAATTTAAAATTCGCGATTATATATTTCAATAAATTCTTTTATTCACAACTATTTAATCTTTTAGTATTATTTAATTTTCAGTCACTGATATATTTATGTTTAACGACAATTTATTGAATTATTATTTCTATGAAGTATTTGTACAAATAAATTATACATTTATTTTGTGGAACGATTTACTGTTGCCAACTTTTCAAAAACTTATATAAGAGTGAAGATTATCCACGTGTATTCCCTACCATGTTTTACTTATAAACATAATTAACTCCAGAAGTACATTGTGGGCTCGTTAACAACTCCACGAAATTTAATCTTGTCTGCAGACGTGCAAATGGACATTAGAATATTAAGTTTTTGCTTGACTTACGAAATAACAGGAAAACAAGGTTTGTACGCGCTTTGATTAATACAATAATTAATTAAATTACATTGTACGGTTACTTGATGCATTTAAAGAAAATTATGTGATACGTTTATAAAATTGATAAACAATTAATTTACAAATGTTAAGATATTACAAGATTACATTTTTAATATGCGAATATACCAAATATTTGAATATGTTAATATATAAGAACGTTTCCTTTCTAATAAGTTATAAATGTAAAATTGTTTGATGTGCTGTAAGAATATTTGATCTAATACTTTCAAAGTATTTAAAGTATTATTTTTAAATAAATTTGTCAAAGTGAAACTGTTAGTACTGCAAAAGAACTTGCATAGATAGCTACTGTTAATTACATCAATTTTCTTGAATCTCAGGAGAAATTAACTCGCTTTACTTGGAAATTGAACGATTCATTTGTTTGTTTCAAATGAAGTTACATTAAATTTATAAACTTAATATAAAGTAGTACCTTCTCGCTACATGATATGTCTTTTCTGTACATTTGGGATGTATGATTCATGAATTATTATTCATATGGCTTCACAGAAGTATAGAAATTATATTTCGACAATATACAACATAACACATTTTACATTTGAAGACTATACACGCATTATACAGAATTTACAGAAATGCATATGATAGTAGAGAGAAGAAAATATTGGAAGCAGATTTTATACTTTCCTCCACTTTCAATCTAAAATTTGGAACAGCGAAATTGGATAAAGGAGACGTGACCAAATAAAAGTTTTACATTGACGAGTGTAACCTTCGACTCGAAATCACAGCTAATTAGTTTTACATTATTTCACAATAATTTCAGGTGTACAAAATTATGTAGATCATTCGAGAAGTTACTGAAGATAATTTTTCGTAATAATGTTGAAGAAAAAGGAAAAATACGTTGAAAGCTATGGAAAAATCGCAATGCTCAAGGGAATGGTTTATGTTAGAAACGTCGTCCCCCGTATTTTGACTGTGTGCTTGCGTACGTGTGTCCGACGTTCAGCAAAATGAGTTTTTTACATTGCGCCCGAAAATTGTACCTTCAATTTTCAACTCGTAATATCTTGGAGACGAAATCTTGACTTGCAAAATAGTAAAAAGGTGTAGAGAAAATATCTTGTATATATTTTCCGGTTCACTAAATTCGATTTTGAAATAGAAGTTTGTTTATTGATTATCAATAAATTGTTAGTAACTTGTTGTTATATTAATAATGATATATCCAGAACATTATTAAAATATTGTTAAGACAATTAGAACTGATGAGTGTATTATACAGATTTATTTATTCGTATTTAAACTTATCATAGAAAGCATTTTGGTCTATTTTAAAACAATTTTGTACATCTTAGAAAATAATTTTCATAGTATTTGAAATCATATACTTCAATAGTTTATTACTTACTGTTAATCAAATTCTTAGTGAAATATGACATATTGTAATTCAACAGTAATGGCAATATGGACTAGTTGATAAAAAGGCAAAGTAACAAAAATCTATAATATTATATTTTATTAACTACTATATTCTGTAAAAAAATCTTGAAATATTTTCTCATGAAACTAATAATATCCAAATAATTACAAAATAAGCCATAATTAACGAATATAATAACAATAAATACGAAAAGTAAGCGATAAACATATTAATTATTTTCAACTATTTAGGGAACGAAGCTTCATACGAAAAAATTTCTTCCTGTATTTTTCAATTACTTCTGCTTACAGAATCATCTATTAATCAATTTCACTTTTCGATTCTGTAAAAGGTATAGATTCATTTGTATCCATATAAGTATTCACTCCTGACGTACCGATAAAAGAAGACAAAGAAAACAAAGGTTTTAAATTTACTGAATTTTTTATCCTTTAACAAGGTAGCGGGTCTAATTATTTTCACAGGATGCAAGAAACATTTCCCAAGAGATATATTGCCGGAGATTTTTCTGCTTTCAACGCTTCAGCGATAAATGCCTTGGCGCGGATGCTATTTCCCTTTCATAAAGTCTTGCGAACTTTAAATATGTTTTTACAGTGAACAAATCCAGCGGAAGGTTTAGTGTGGACATACACTTAGAATAGAAGGAAATACAACAGAAATTAAATTAAAATTACTATTTAATTGTAGTGCAAAATAGAATGTTTCATCGTTCGATTATTTTAGAATTATAAATTAGAATTTAATAAACTGGTTTTTGGTTCGCATCGTCTCATCAAAATATCTCGTTAATGCTTTTAAAACTGCACACCATTCCTATATACAAGGTATCGGAAATTCGTATTTCCTCGGCGCGTTCTCTCGGTAGCGAGTGAGTTCTTTAAAGGTAGGTAGTATTCACTTCCGAAGTTTTCCGATGAGAGTATCATATTTCCAATATCCGGCTCACCGCAACCTCTCTTGATCCAGAAGTCTGCCATCCGTTTCAGACAAACTTATTTTCGTACTGACTAAGTGCTTTCGCAGCTGAAAGAACTGCTATCAGCGAAATGAGCAAATTAATAATATACAGTCGCAAATTCTTTGCAAAAGGGAATTGTCATAAAATTTTTTGGTTTAAATTCAAGATATTGAAACTGAAGGGTTGAAAATATGAGACGACTTTCATATACCTTTAATATATAATGTGCTTAAAAAGTTTGAGGAATCTGTTTATAATTATTTTATTATAAGTGCTGCAAATATTTACAATCTTTTTCAAACTACACTCCTTCAGATTGCACATATTTCTAAAATCTTTTCTTCTTTTTTTAAATATATTCAATATTGGAATTTAATATAGTACCTCCTCCTTTTTTTATAATTTTCCGTATAGTAAAATGTCAACTTTTCAATTCTCCTTCTAATACGTTGATAACAAACACGCATTCATCAAAACTCCTACATAATCGAAATATTT